GCCCATTGAGTGCAACGGGGCTTTGTCATAAATCAAGTGACCATATATATGTGGGTCTATCTAGACTCTTTTTTTCAAAAAAAACGACAACATTTTGCTTTTCTCTATTGTGTATCTGCTTTCTATTTCATTAGATTTTTGGTTTTGCTTTTAATTTTTCCTTCTACTTTTGTTGGTTTAATTTGTTTTTTTCTAGCTTCTTGAGATAGAAGCTTAGGTCACTGACTTTCAATCATTCTTTTTCTAAACTATGCATTTCTAGCTATACATTTATCTATATGCCGTGCTTTAGTTGCATCCCACAAGTTTTGCTACATTGCAGTTTCACTATTGCTCTGTTCAAAGTATTTTCTAGTTTTACATTGTGACTCTTTTTTTTTGGTCCTATGGGTTATTTAGTAGTATACTGCTTAATTTCTAAACATTTGAAGATTTTCTAGTTATCCTTCTATTACTGATTTCTGGCTTAATTCCTCTGTGGTCTAAGAAAAACTCTGCATTATTTTAATCCTTTTAAATTTGTTGAGATTGGCTTTGTGGCCTAGCATGTAGTCTGTTCTGTTAAATGCTCAATGTACACTTGAGAAGACTGTATATTCTACTGTGGCTGCCTGTAGTTTCTATAAATGTAAATTACATCAAGTTGGTTAATAATGCTCTTCAAATTTTCTACGTCTACTTATTCCAGTCTCTTGCAGGTATGATCAGAATCTCCGACCAGGCTTCTGGATTCCTTTATTTCTCCCTTAAGATCTGTCCATTTTTGCTTTATATATTTTGAAGATATATTAGATGCCTACAAATTTAGGACTGTTATGCCATCCTTTTCAGTTGACTCTTTTATCATTAAAAAGGTCCTTTATCTTCACTAATAATTCTTGCCTTAAAGTCTACTTTGTGTAATATTAATATAGTCACACCATTTTCTTTGGTTAGTGTCTGTTAAGGTTCATCTTTTTTCCACTCTATCACTTTCAACCTGTGTCCTTATCAGCTTTATATTAAAACTAATTCTCCAAGCTTCGGTAGGACTGATCTAGACAAGTGCTGAAGGATAAAACTTATTTTTTTATTTTATTTTTTAACATCTTTATTGGAGTATAATTGCTTTACAATGTTATGTTAGTTGCTGCTGTATAACAAAGCAAATCAGCTATATGTATACATATATCCCCGTATCTCTTCCCTCTTGCGTCTTCCTCCCACCCTCCCTATCATACCCCTCTAGGTGGATACAAAGCACCAAGCTGATCTCCCTGTGCTATGTGGCTACTTCCCACTAGCTATCTATTTTACATTTGGTAGTGTATATATGTCCGTGCCACTCTCTCACTTCGTCCCAGCTTACCCTTCCCCCTCCCTATGTCAAGTCCATTCTCTACGTTTGCGTCTTTATTCCTGTCCTGCCCCTAGGTTCTTCAGAAACTTTTTTTTAGATTCCATATATATGTGTTAGCGTATGGTATTTGTTTTTCTCTGACTTATTTCATTCTGTATGACAGTCTCTAGGTCCATCCACTTCACTACAAATAACTCAATTTCGTTCTTTTCATGGCTGAGTAATATTCCATTGTGTATATGTGCCACATCTTCTTTATCCATTCATCTGTCGATGGACACTTAGATTGCTTCCATGTCCTGGCTATTGTAAACAGTGCTTCAGTGAACATTGTGGTACATGACTCTTTGTGAATTATGGTTTTCTCAGGGTATATGCCCAGTAGTGGGATTGCTGGGTCATATGGTAGTTCTATTTTTAGTTTTTTAAGGAACCTCTATACTGTTCTCCATAGTGGCTGTATAAATTTACATTCCCACCAACAGTGCAAGAGGGTTCCCTTTTCTCCACACCCTCTCCAGCATTTATTGTTTGTAGATTTTTTGATGATGGCCATTGTGACCAGTGTGAGGCGGTACCTCATTGTAGTACAACTTATTTTAAAAGGTCACACTTCTTGTGTAAGAGCCCACAATTAACAATGTTTGCACATGTTTTATTTTGGGAAGTGTAGGAACAAGTGGGAGTGTTTTCCGGTTCTCTTCAAGGAAGACCTTGTAACTCCAAATACTGTCTAACAGGTTTCTGAGGCTTCTGAGTAAGAATAGTCAAAAGCCCTTTACAGAAAAAGCTGATGGTGGGGAATGGTCTTCCTGACCCACATGTTCACCTGGGTCTAAAACTCCCAGGATCTACAGGTTGGCAAAGGCCTCTGTGGTCTCATCCAAATGTCCACCCAGTGATGGGATGTTCTTCCCAGGATGCTTACCAAATGGCCTGCTTGCTCGTGGGCTCACAAAGCAACAGAGTCCCTCTTCCATAGTGTGCCTCTAAGAAAGCTCTTCCTTTTATGGAGTTTCAGTCCTCTCCATCGTAGTATCCATGCAGTATTCCTAGTTCTGCTCTCAGGGCTTCACAGAAAAAGTAAGATTTCTCCTCCACGTGGAGAAGGAGCTCTTCAGAGATTTGAAAACTGTGGCCATGCCCCTTTCAGTTTTTCTCTCCTCCAAGTAAATATCTCTTGCTACTTCTTCAACTGTTCCACATATTAATGCTGCTTTCAGACCTCTCACCAGTTTCGACGCCCTCCTCCTTACAGATTCCATTTACGGCACTCAGATTTGGTCCCAACATTCACGGGAAAGTACAACCAGTGCAGAGCAGAGCACGACTATAAAATCCCTCCTTCTGGGCCTCTACTTCTATTAATTCAGCCTGAGAGTCACTAACATTTTTAGTGGCCATAACTCCTTCTCAACTAAACATCCTTTGGTTTCTTCACCTTTGATGTGAGATTCAGGTTAGACCCTGGCTAATGATACTATAACTTACCAGTCCTTTTCCCCACAAATGATCACCTGGTTTTATGTCCACCTATTAGCAAAACGGGGGAGACAATTCTTATACCATTATCCTCATGGGGTTACTGGGGGACTGAAATAATAAACATGAAGAGTGCTCTGTAAGCCACAGAGAGCACTGAACATGTAAGATATCCCCCTCTGGTTATAAGACCAGGAATCTCTGTCTCTCTTAAGATGTTTGACCTTGTAATCCATACTGACTGGAAACCAGACCTGTGAAAATCCATATTTTCTCCTGGGTCCATAAAAGTTATTATGGACCAGGTTTCCTGCCACTTTCTCTAATACCTTGGTTTACTGAGAATCTCTTTTGTGTTCCTGGCTAATGTGTCCCACCCACCTGGGCAGAGTTGCAACCATGTTCCAGGAGCCTGTCTGATGAACGTGTAATTCCAGCTGGAAGGCTATGCTGGTAACTTCTCCATCAGGTCCCAGAAGATCTCTAAGTTTGAGGCAACAGAGTCTCTCTGAGTTTCCCCAGGAGATCACTGAGGGCGGCTGCCAGTCCCTCCCTGAACGCAGGAAAGGTCTCCTCCCAAACGAGCCCCGACACATGCTTTCCTCTGAAGGAAGCTGAGGCTTCCGAGAACCAGGTTCACGTTGGTTCCCACACACCATGGTATCTTCCTAGTGTGCCCTGCAGGGCAACCAAGAGGCATGAAGAGAATGGAAAACTTGTCATAATAAAAGCAGCCACTTAGGGAACACCCACTATGATTCAGGAACTGCCTGAGATAATGGGCCTTATGTCAAAGGCGAGTACCAGGGTGGAAGTGCCCTGGCTGTCAGGGAAATGTGTGAGACGTTTTTGGTTGTCGCTATAGTTGGGGCTAAAGGTGTTATAAATCCTGCAGCATATGGTGGAGTGTGCCTCTAAAAGGCAGAGCCAGAATCAGTGAACTAGAAGAACAGGGAAGCAGCGTCTAGAAGGTTTTTAGAATAACCTGCCTATCCGTAAGGCTCATCAACAAGGGACAGGGATGCCCCTGAAGGTACCCAGAGTTCCAGGTCAGAAGGACCACCTTTGATCAGGGGTTCTGAAGTGAGGAGGTCCCTTTTAGCCACAAGAATCTGAAATCTAATAGGACTATTTTGGCAAAAGCAGAAACCCATTCAATAGGCAACACACTAAAAAGAGTCCTCAGTTTCTGTTCTCTCTTTCCTATTTGTGAACACGATGATTCTTGCAAAGATAGCAGCAAACCTGCTGCTCAACTCAGCCAAGGGCTGACTGACAAGGGCTGCCTATTTAGGGCAGAGGTGTTCATAAATGCTGAACTACAGATCTGTCGATTTCACTGCTGAAAAATGTCCTTGTCCATCTCTAAGAAGAGAGCTGGAGGGAGAGCCTGAAGCCCTAACAAAGTCACTGTGGTGAAGCCACACGAGCCCTTTCTCCACGTCTCTGTTTCAGTCCACGACACGTCAGATCACTCTGTCTGAGTTATTTGTACACAACTACCCCGGACATAGGTGGACTTACCTTGTATTTATTGGCACGGGTACTTACCAGGTACACTCACAAACTATCTCATCTGATTTTTCCAGGATGTACTATTATGGAGGAGAATGATCCCCGATTCTTTAAATCATCTTGATATTCCCCCCAAAGTAAGACTCAGGGGGTTGGTGGACCCAGAATCTTCACAGCTATATTACTTATGGGTACGCAGGCAGAGAATAATACTAACACATTTGTACAATATATTTTTCAAAGCTGTTTCACATCTATTGTTTATATTCTAATATGACAATAACACAGTGAGGTAGGCAGGGTGTGGATTACTGTCTGTGTAAGACAGCTGTGAAAAATGAAGTTCAGAAAAGATAGTTTGCTCAAGGTCTTACACCTTGGAGTATGAGAATACAGAGCCAGACACTGAACCCAGACCTCTGACTCTAAACCATGACCTTGTTGTTCTCTGACCATTTTTCACCTGTGTGTGTGTGTGTGTGTGTGTGTGTGTGGTGTGTGTGTGTGAAGTGAGGTGTGTCTGAGGTTTTGTGTGTGTGTGTGGTGTGAGTTGTGTGTGAGGTGTGTGTGTGTGTGAAGTGAGGTGTGTGTGAGATTTTGTGTATGTGTGGTGTGTGTGAGTCGTGTGTGAGTACTGGGGACGGCCTGTCACCCCAGCACTCACCTGCTGATCCTGAAGCTTGACTCCAACGACTCTGAAGGTGTTGCTGGCAGTGTTGTGGTAGATGTTGATCCGGCTGAATCCCTGCTGGCCAGGTTTGATTGGTACCCACTTCTTACTGGTGTCATCGTAGACCATCACGGAAGCCCGGGCTTGGCAGATACTCTGTTCGCTGCAGACCAAGAGAAAACGTTAAGCGTCAGCCTCAGTTACAAGGGATGGATGCTGGCTTTGTCCTTTTCTGAAACAGAGGCCAACTGCCGCTTGACACAAAGGAACTTCCTAGTTGCCAGAGCTTCCAACTGTCTGTGGAAGGGCCGCTCTGTGCGGTGATAAGTTTTGACTCTCCAAAGACCAGGGGGAGTGGACAGGAGGTTCCATGCCAAAGTTTTTGATAGCATGGAAGAGACTCCCAGCTTCACTTTCAGGGGAAAAGGTGCTTGAATTAGAAAGGAATTACAGCTACAATTTGCCAACTGGCCACGATGTTCCAGGCACGGTGTTGAATAATGCACTAAAGCACGTAAGCAACTTATGAAGCAGCCGTTTATTTCCCCCATTTTGTAGATGACAAGAGAGTGGCTCAGAGACTTGGAAAGATTTATACAAATTCACATAGGGACTCAGCGACTTTATCTGGGATTTCCAACCTGTTCTGTCTGACTCTAGAATACATGATATAGATAATATTCTCCATAACATCCAACAAAATGCTCCATTTATGATAGCACAACAGGGTGGCTTCACACATGCTATGTAGACAATAACATGATTAGGTGATCTTCTAAAGAACACAGTGATGAAAATCAAAATGAACAGATGGCCCATCCTGCTTCAATGGAGACATTTCCAAGCAAACTCCCCTGTTCAGCATGTGACAGAAAACCAGGGAAGAAGCAAAAGAAGCACCCGGAGAGAGAAGATAGTCATGACTGAAGTCAGCACACTGCAACTCCCGCCACAGCACGCAGGGCAGGTCTCCCAGAGCCCACGGGCCTCTTCATTTACATATGAGCCTGATAATCTTAAACATTTACTCTCAGTCTCTAGTGTATTAGAATCCCCCAATTAAAAAGGTAAGACGGGCTTCCCTGGTGGCGCAGTGGTTGAGCGTCCGCCTGCCGATGCAGGGGGCGCGGGTTCGTGCCCCGGTCCGGGAGGATCCCACATGCCGCGGAGCGGCTGGGCCCGTGAGCCGTGGCCGCTGATCCTGCGCGTCCGGAGCCTGTGCTCCGCAACGGGAGAGGCCGCAACAGTGAGAGGCCTGCGTACCGCAAAACAAAAAAAAAAGGTAAGACGTGGTTTTCAAAGGTAGGCACACCAACAGCAGCGAGGAGTGGCTGTTAGCGGAAAGGTAGGCTGAAGAATTAGAAACGGAAAGTTAAAGCCCAGCAAGTCGGCGCCAAGTTATAAAGAAGTGAAAGTGTAATTGTGATAATCGTGATGATGAGACCAAGCGATCAGGAGAAAGTCACAGTCCGTTCCCTTCACCACATCTAAGAGGGCAGGGAAACCAAATATTCGGAGAAGTTCTCTCCCCAGTCCCGGCGGTCACCAGGTGACAAAACGATAGTTTTCAGGAGACTGGCCCTCAGGGACCTGGAAACCTCAGCTTGGCCTAGGCAGCCTGCCTGAGGGCTCTCGTGGGCTGAGCTTCCCCGGGACCCAGCTCCCCTACGACTCCAAGACGGCGGAGGAGACACGTACAGATGGTCACCACCTTAGCAACAATTCTGGGTATGTGCACACACAAACCTGTCCGTACATATCCCCTCACCTCACGTTACACGAATCCCTACGTACATTTGATGGCTGTCCGGCTAACGACTTCACGTGCCGGCGCTCTCAGACCCGCTCCAGGCCTACGCTGCTCCATCTCAATCCTTCTGCTGGCCCCTCAGCTCTGCCCGAGGGTGCAGGAGTCTGGGGTACACTGGACGCCAGCCGTCCACGCCCTGTGCTGAGGCTCCTTCTGTGGACACGTGTACTGGGAGTGAATTATGTGGGTTTTGTTGTGCAATTGTGCTACATCTTTTTTCTCATAATTCATTACTCATTCAACAAATAATTAAGGGGAAATCAGTGATGAGACGAGCAGGCATGGGCTTCCCCAGAAGACAGCCATATCATACTGGCGGGGAGAAAAAAGAAAAACAAAAGGAAAACCAAACACAGCACTATGCTTTGCCTTCTCTGAGCTCTGGAGCCCGAAACCATGTATCTTCTACGAGAATATTAGGAGGAGTTGCCGCTCCCCTAGCTGAGTCTTTGGGGCCCTGTCCTCATGAAGTCGAAGGTAGGAATCAGAGTAAACCGTACACAGAATTAGACAGACCTTGGTTCAGATCAAGTCAGAGTCCCACACCAATGTAAACTAATTACTAATCAAGTTCTGGGCTAAGTTGTGTCACTTACTGCTACTCACGCACTTAGGCGCTCATGGTGACAGTGGGCAAGTAGGTGTGTGCTCTGAATGCTGGCTCAGGAGCTGGGAGAGATCCTGAGACACAGCACAGTGTTAGGTAACAAAGCACAGACTCGATCAAGTCAGAGGGATCTGAGCCAAAATCCCAGGCGTAGCGCTTACTGGCACGTGACACAGAAGCCCTTGAGATGCCTCTGGGGGAGCAAGCCAGGAAGGAACCGTGTGGTAGAGTCCCTGTGTGAAGGCCGTGGAGTGCCGCCCTTCTGATCACCTTCAAACGAGCCTGTTCTGGAGCAGAGCTGACCAGTGGTCCCAGCTGCTGCCCTCTGGACGCCCACCACGTCTGCACAGAGGCCACATTCTCTGGGCCACTGTCCGCCAATGACTCAGTGGTGGCAGGGATGGCTGGCCCACGCAGGGCTCCTCCCCAGGGGAAACTCATCAGCCAGGCCCAGACTGTCTCAGAACTGTGCTGTGGGCTGAGACGCTTCCTCCTCAGTCCTTCTCGCCCCTTCTCCTTCTGCAGACGTCAGACCTGCATCTTGGCCTGAGGCTCTCTGGGCCTCTCCACTCCCTCCATCCTTCACTGACCTTCTGATAAATCTCTGGAATCTAACCGTCCTGGGGGACTTGGTGTCTGCTTTTGGAAGACCCAAAGTAACACAGCCTGCACGGTGCAGGCTCCCCGAGGGCAGGGACACAGGGGTCTCATTCTCCACTATCTCCAGAACCCGGCAGACAGCAGGGGCCTGATGACTGCTCCCTGTGAAGAGAGCTCTGGAGAGGACCTAGCCCCTCTCATGCTCAACACAGCACGCCTCCTAAAGCAGCCCAAAGAGCACGCAGAGCCTCTGAATGGAACTGCTGGCAACGGGGAACTCTGCTCTCCAAAGCAGCCTGTTTGTTGTGAAATGGTTTGAGTTGTCCTTGTCCTGAGGGTCAGCCCACTCCCCGCCCTCCAGAGGTACAAAGGGGCTCTGAACAGCTCTGCCAGTCTAGTGGACAACTGAAGGAGCACCTTGGCTCTGCCATCCACCATTCATACAACACAGCTACAGGCCCCTGTGCCACCCCAGTGAGTCACCACCTGTCACATGTTCTCTTAGGATCTGGGTATGATACTCTTGCCTTCGTCTGACAAGCACAGATGCCAGTGAGTCAAAAAACATTTAGTGATGCAGAGATGCATATGACAGTCTCTGCTCACAGCTACTCAGGAAATAAGACAAATAATTACACACCTTCCTCAGCCTGGAGGGACTGAGGGAACAGGGGAGACTTTCTGAAGAAACCGCGGTGTGGGTTTATAGCTGAAGAGCTCTCAACCCCAGGCGGGTTCAGGAAGGGGATGTGGGATTCTGGGCGGGGGCGGCCAGCAGCCAGCGAGGCAAGGACAGTGCACTGCGTGCAGAGCCTACCTGGGGCACCACATACACCTCTCGGGGCTGTTCAACGGACATGATACAGCAATGGACCCACCACTGTGCTTGCCCCTGCTAGGTGCTTCAACATCAACCACTTTTTAAAAATTGTAATCATAGCCACAGGCTCCCTTTTTGTGTTTTTTTGTGTTTTTTTTTAGCAGTTTAGGTTCAAATTGAACTTGTGGTTAAACAAAAATCCCTATTTTTGTTCCCATCTGACTAGTGCTTGTCTATCTCTGCTTATTTTATTACCACTAACAAACCCTAAGTGCAAGAAAATACGTGTTTACTTAAGATTCGTCTTATTATCCCTTCGGGATTTTTGTTTTGTTTTGCAGGAGTCAGCATTTTATTATTTTTTATTTTTACTGAGATATAATTGACATGTAACATTATATTAGTTTCAGGTGTATAACACAATGATTCAATATTTATATATATATCGCAAAATGATCACCACAGTAAGTCTAGTTAACATCCATCACACCTAGTTATGAAAATTTTTTCTTGTGTTTTGTTTTAATAAACTCTTGATTCCTCTCCAGCCTAGACAGTGCCTCTGAGCGCCATATATTCACTGTCTTCTCGACACCTCCACTGGGATGAATATGCAAACTCTATACTACACGCGTTATTTCACAGGCACCAGACACTTCATTTGTCTAAATCAGTTTTTTGAGGAAAGTTAATTTGGTAGACAAATACTAGAAAGACTGAACTATTTTAAAAACACATACATACAAAATTCCCTTTACTAAACTGAAAAGGACTATTGCTACCCCCCCTCCCCCCAGCCCTGGCCCTGTACAACTTGCGCCAAAGCTGGTCCTCCTGAGGGCTCATCTCGGACAGGCTGCCTTCACGTGAGCAAACCACCACTGACTAGTGGGAATCAGTCCAATATGCCGTTTGGTTTGCTCCACATGGTGCTGAACTGCCAGGCTGATGGACTTTTGCCCCTGGGACCTAACAGGCTGCTCTGAGCTGCAGGTACAAGCAGTTTCTCTCCCAGGAGAAGGCTCTTTCAGAGCTAGCAGTCCAATTCCAGTCTCATTTTGGGCTTTTGTATGGGTATTTGTGGGCCCAGCAAAATATTCAAGTCTGTAACTTCCCTCCCAGTGGCAGGTGAGACATACACTGACAAAGCTGGGACAGCTCTTTTGTCAGGACCTTAGAGGAGGAAGATGGCATCCTCTGGGCCTCAGTTTCCTCATCTGTACAAGGCTAGTCTGACCTCAGGGCCCCCCTCAGACAGCCATGCGTTCGTGCTGAGCTCTGCCCATAAGCCCAGCCCCGGGTCAGCAGTCAGTGTCTTGTCACTGG